TTACTGCTTAAAAGTATTTGAGCACAGTAAGAAAAAAAGTGTTAAGTGAAACACATATGGCAAAATCTTGGTAATTGTTGATTCCAATTTATAGGTATGTGAGGGTTAATTGTATTATTTTCTCTATTTTTGCATATATTTGAAATTTTCCATAATAATTTTTTTAAAATTACATACATATTCTAATTGTTTAACTGCATATTCTCTGGTTAAACTGAACCAGAACATGGACAATCTGCTCTTATAGGAGCACAATGGACATGTGGGGGCAATGAAGTCACAAGAAGAAGGTGACAAAGAGAAATTTAACACTCTTTGAGAAAAATATAACATATTAAGAAGAAATGAAGCTGAGGATCCAAGAAATCTTAACAAGACAAGATAAAAATGTTTAATTCAGTAATTAAAGCAAAGTAAAATAATTTTCAAAGATTTAAGAAAATGATAAAACACAGACTGCTGCTGGGAATGTAAATTGCTATATCCTTACTGGGGAACAATTTAGTGACATGATCCTATATCCTTTGATCTGTTAATTCCGTTAACAGTGTAACCTAAAGAAACAAAATGTGAGCATAGGTTTCTGCCTACATTTCTTAATTGCATCACATTTTCTTTTTTTTTTTCCGAGACGGAGTCTTGCTCTGTCCCCCAGGCTGGAGTGCAGTGGCACGATCTCGGCTCACTGCAACCTCTGCTCAAGCAATTCTCCTACCTCAGCCTCCAGAGTAGCTGGGACTATAGGCATCCGCCACCATGCCCGGCTACTTTTTTTGTATTTTTAGTAGAGACAGGGTTTTGCCATGTTGGCCAGGCTGTTCTCGAACTCCTGACCTCAGGTGACCCGCCCACCTCGGCCTCCCAAAGTGCTGGGATTACGGGAGAGCCACTATTCCTGGCTCATTGCATTACATTCTGAAAGCTCTTTGAAGGTAGGGGCTTTGTCTGCCCTATTGACCACTATATTTCTAGAACAGTTCTTGAAAAGAAGTAAATGCTGAAATGAATGTATGTTAAATAAACAATGAGGAATTAGAAAAGACCAAAACTCAAACAACAGGATAATTATTTGGTACATTTTGGAATAGAGGAAATCCTAGCTAGTCATTTAAAATAGTATTTTCAAAGAACATTAAATGACATGAGAAAATGTTCCAGATATAATGTTAAGTGGAAAAAATCAGGATGTAAAACCATATACAGGATGATCCTAATTACATATGTTTAAACTAGCACAAGGAAATATATAAAAAATTTAAAAGCAGGTATCTCTAGATGATATACACTTCAGTGATTTTAAAATATTCTCCTTCAAATTCTTCTGTGTTTCCCAAATTATCTATGAGGACTCAAATCTTTTTTTAAAAAGGAATTTCTAGTTTTACATTCTATGGATAGATTAAGTCTAGCATTACAAAAAGAGCCAAAGTCTTCTTTGATCACTTCCAAACCAAGTTCCCACTCTATACCTGCAGAGAGTGATCAAAGAAGTCTTTGATTACCTTTTTTACAAATCTGGTGTCCTTCCTTCTAGATCACTTTTTATATTTTCCATACACTTGCAGTATATGTACCTATAGAAAATACATGGTATTAGTGCATTTTAAAATATAAACAGTATCAAGCTGCATGCATACTGACTTCTTAGTCTATTTTGTGCTGCTATAATGGAATACTACAGACTGGGTAATTTATAATGAACAGAACTTTATTGGCTCACAGCTCTGGAGGCTGGGAAGTCCAAGATTGAGGGGTTGCATCTGGCGAGGGTCTTCTTACTGCTTCATAACATGGTAGAAGGCATCATGTGGGTGAGAGAGAGTAAGTAAGAGGGTGCCAAGCCCATTCTTTTGAAAGGAACCACTCCTGTAACAAAGGCATTATTCCATTCAAAAGGGCAGAGTCCTCATGGCCTAATCATCTTTTAAATGTCCCACCTCTTAATACTGTTAAAACAGTGATTAGCTTTCCAATGCAAACATGCTTTTTGGGGGGATGCTTTCAAACACAGTTCATAGTTAACATCTACTATTTGTTTTCTGTTTTAACTCAATAATGTTTTTTGAGATGTGCCCATTTGGATACATAGAGATTGAATTCATTCCCCTTAACTGCTACATAGTACAACATTTTATTTAGTCATTTCCCTATGGATAAGCAGGAAAGGGCCTGGGGACTCTTTCTTTGAACCTACTGAAGGACAGTGCTGAGGAGACTACATCTCACTCTGCTGCTGGTTGGGAGAAAGAAATCTTCTCACGGGATAGGGTGGGTGGCACTTCTTGAAAGAAGAAAGCAAGTTCAGTCCCTGATACCTGCAGAACAGAGACCAACAAAGTCAGTCCAGGCCTGGACAGGGATTCTCACTATAGAATCTAAGCCATAACCAAGTCATGACAAGTGTCTTCTCATTCTCTTCACACCAAGTTCTGGTTCTCAAAATGTCTCTGATACTGATCTCTTTCTCTTTACTCTGTCACCTTCCTAACTTAGAAATTAATCACTTCACCACTACATTAGTGTCTTGGCCTCTATCCAGTTTCTCTTCCTTCTAATCCATTCAATTTACCACTTCCAAATGAGTCCTCCAACACCTCCACATAGTCAACTTTCTCTGTTAAAACCTTCAAAGGTGCCCTGTTGGGTCCTACTGATGGTTCCTTTTTTGGCCTTCCATGGCCCCTAACTTAAAAGCTTAGCCTTCTAGTCCCTTATCAAATTCTCTATCCTTCAAGTCTCACATCTTCTATGATTCTTCTCCAGGGCTTCGTGATCACCCACATATTCAAACATTCAACAAAGATTTAGTGAGTGCTACCAAACACCAGGCACAATGCAAAAGCCTGAGGTTCTGGCATGTACCTGTAAATAACAATGCACCAAAGGTTGTAGCTATACTGAAATATGATTTTCTTTTATCAGGGCATGCTTTGTTAAATTTCTGCCTCATGGTTACAACCAACAGCGACTTCTGGGTATTTGAAAAGCTTCAAAGTAATCCAAGAAAGCACTACACAGCTATAGGTTTTATGTATTATTATATCGAGTTGATTTGAATGTAGGAATACATGTGAGTTTTCAGTTTGTTTTTAATAATTTACAAAATGGGACCTGGTGGTCACTAAAATCACTTTCAGCTCCAATGGTCTAGAATGCAGGATGCTTGCAACAGAACCACTAGATGTCACTACTAACAACACAAAAGTTAAAGCAAGGTCTTGAGATCACAGGATTACTGTAAAGAACTACCAGATTTAGGAATAAAAATGTGAAAATGCTTCTATAGAGAAGCCCTATAAAAATCCAGAGGAGTAGCTTCGAACACCTTTGTGCACATGAAGTGCCACAGACACAATAATTGTTAAGTACTTCCTATACTCTTCTACTAATAGAATAGCCTTCGACAAATTACTGGTCAGCAGCATAAGGAAAATCAAGTCTTAGAATAGGAAGGAAGCTTATTAGTCCATCAGTTTTCAGATTTCTATTTTCTGGCACTAGAAATACAGTCTATATCACAACCCAGTGCACATGTGCACGTGTGTGTGTGGACACACACATAGACACTGATTTCATATATATAAAAAATATATGTGTGTGTATATATATGTATATAACATATAGTTGAAAACAAAGTTTCACAAAACAGTAATGCCCTTACTATGTGTAGTGCACTTTGATATTTTCTTTTTTATGTATTCCATTTCATTAAAAAAAAAAAAAAAACTGGCTGGGCATAGTGGCTTACACCTGTGTAATCCCAGTACTTTGGGAGGCCGAGATACGAGGATCTCTTGAGTCTAGGAGTTCAAGTACAGTCTGGGCAACATAGTGAAACCTCATCTCTACAAAAAATAAACAAAATTAACCAGGCATGGTGGCATGTGCCTGCAGTCTTAGCTACTCAGGAGGCTGTGGTGAGAGGATCCCTTGAGCCCAGGAGGTCAGGCTGGAGTGAGTCAAGATCAAGCCATTGTACTCCAGCCTGGGCAACAGAGTAAGACCTTATCTCAAAAAAAAAAAAAAACCTTGTTACAAAACAATAAATTGATTTTACTCAATCAAATATACTTCGTTATGTTAATATATCAGAAAACAGAAGCCCAGAGAGGTGCAGTGACTTGCCCCAGGTAACTCAGTAGCCAGGATTCAAGGCTTTTCAGGATGCTGGCAGGTTTTGTTTTGGAAGACCCTAGGTAAAAACTGAAAAGTGTCTTTGGCACCATCTCAGCTCCTGCTGTGCTCCTCAACCTTCTAAATCCTGTGGCTAAGATACTGTGGTAAAAACCAAACCAAACCAAACCTGACAAAGTGTATGGATGATTAGTTATATGCAGCAGCCATTTAAAAAATACGGGTTCTTTCTTAAATGCAAATGTGATCACTTTAACTTTTCTATTTGAATCCCAGCAGTGGCTGTGGTTTTCAGGCCAAATACAAATTCTCAGTGTGACACTAAAGGCTCTTCCAGAGCTGGCCCCAGTCCTGCTAGCCAGCTTGATTCTTCACCACTTCCCCACAAGCATCTTCAAGATTCTTCCTTCACTCTTGACCTGGCTAAGTCATAAGGTTTTCAAGATTCCACTCACATTCCTCTTCTGCAAAGCCTTCTTTGGCGTGTGCTTGCCCACAGCACGCAGCCTACTGTTCCTGAAGCGTCCTCTTGTGTGTCCTCTCCACTGAACTGTGACATTGTTATGTCTCCCCATTTGCTATCTGTGGCACCTGGCCTAGGATTCAGTATGTAAGAGGAAATCTGCTGAAGTGAGTATTTTCATATTCTCACTCTCAAATTTCAATCCTAAAAAAACCTCACTGGAATATCTCTGGATTATGTAAGAGCTGGTTTTGACATTGCAGAGTTCTATTTTCTAATATTTTGGGAGTATGAATAAAAACCACTATACCTATCACAGGAGAAGTACATGCAAAAACCCAGTTCTGGCCTTTTTTCTCTTGATTTTAATAAGCGTTTATTGGGGGAAAGGTGAATTTTGTTGTTTTTTTTTTAACCTCTAGCTTGTAAGCTAGGACCTGCTGAGCAACACAGACTCTGCTCCCTCCACTGCTCCCTCCACTGGTTCCTCAAAGAGTTTTCCCACCTCTCAAATTCCCAACCGAAGAGCCTTTCTACTTACGTGGCACACACAGACATTCTTCTGTGTATGCTGCAACAGAGTAAATCAAGAACAGTGGCCAACACCTGAAATGACTTAATTCATACTTATCAAGTTGGGGAGAAATCAGAGTGGAAGAGAGGCAGCTAAAAGCTCATAGTGACAAAGGACAGTGAGTAATGAAGGGAGCATTGATTCGGGGCTGTGGTGGTCAGAGGTGGCTTTGTGAGAGTAAATCACCAACACCAGGGTGGGAATTGGGTAGATCTGTGGGGAAGGAAGCACTTCCAGGTGGGTACCAGCATAAGCAACAGTCGGCTAAGGGTGTGAAGCAGAAGACTCCCCAAATCAGAGAGCGTTTGGCACTGGGGAGGGCTCAGGCATGCAATGAGGTGGGGAGGATTAGGGATGCTGGTGTCCCTGAAGGAGCAGGTCATTATCCACTGTCACCCCTCACTCCATGTCTCACTGCCTTGGTTATAAAGTACATTCAGTTTTATGTAGCATTTTGATCTTCTCTATGCCCTTGTCAGGTAAGCAGCATAGATACTGTGGGCTTTCTTTTTCAGAAATAGTTTAAGAAGGAGATAAGAAAATTGGCCCAAGTCACACAGCTAGCAGCTAAGCAGCCTCACAGTTTAGATCTCTGGACTTCTATTTCACAGACCTAAAAATTTACGGTTGTTGCAAAAGACACATAGCTGAATTTCCCCATTTTACAAATAAAGAAACTGAGGACCACAGAGGTGAAGAAATTTTTCCAAGGTCACACAGAAGCAGAATTTAGGTTAGCTGGAAGCGGCTTTAGCCAGCCTGATTTCTGATAGAAGATGTTGTACATTATATGAGGAAGCAGGGAGAAAAATTCTTCATATTGCCAAGAAAGAACAGTTACTTCAACAAAACCAAATATCTTCTAATGTTTAATAACTGTCAGGATAACATTCCGTTACCATAACTGCATTTATAAAAATGGAAATTATCAACCAAAAATTAGAAGTTTTTTAAGTGAAAACAATTCTAGAAAGAAATCAAGCTGCTCGAGGAGAGGGATCTATCTGGGGAGAAAGGCCTCCCCAATCTACAGGAGCTCCTCAGAACTTTTTTCTGCCACTGATGAATTTTTAGGTCCTTGTTGATCAGAGAAAAAGTTTTATTTTTAACTTTTTTAAAAAAACTAAATGTTGGCTCCAAACTGATAAACTCTCATCTCAGAATCTGTTAGCAAAGGATAACTAATATTTGCAGACAAGAACACCATTCAGATGACACATTATTATAATTTATTTTACACTAGAAATGACATGGCTTGAGAAATGACTTGCCGAGAAATCTGTGTTTACATTAGGGAGAGTAGGGGGAAAATCCCTCACAGAAGTTGAAAACATGTTAAGCGGTAAATACCAAAATGCCCAGCAAGCATTTAAGCTGGCTCTCATCCTAGCATGAATATGTGCAGCTCAGCATTTTAAAATTTACTTTTAGCTTTTCTAGCAGTTTGAATTAACCCTTTCTCTACTTCCACTTTCTCTGTGAGAGTTCAGCTCTTAATCTGCAGATGTGGACTGAGGATGCTGTCAATGGTGCTCAGTGATCCACTGGTGAATGATGTCCTCACCTGGACTGGTTTCCTACAAGACGGCTGCCTTGTGAACATGTCTCCTAAGCTTCCTTCCTATCCAGGTAAGGCCTGGACAAACATTAGGAAGCAAGTTCAGCTTGTATGGATTGGAAAAGGCCTGTCAGTAGAGCACAACAATACAAATCAATGTCACAATAAAGGTATATCCAGACCAGAGGTTCTCCAGAGCAGAATCACCCCCAGAGAGACTGTGTCAGGTGGCCCCAGCATCTGTAGCTGTAAACGATGCTCAGGTGATTTTAAGCATCTCTCTCATTCAAAGACACTAATCTAGACTCTCTAAAAACCCAACGACATTTTAATCTTAGTTTCAGCTCCTAGTAAATGAAAACAAAAAACAAAACAAGCAACCAAAAAAAAAAAAAATGGTTCCAAGTTAGGTTTATCTTAATACTTAACTGGCTATGAAACTTATTTACAACCTGAGTGAATACCAATTATATACAAGAAAGGTGAACATTTAATGAATATTCGTATAATACTTTACAGTATCTTATGCATTAATGATCTCATGTGGTTCTCACAGCAACCCTATGAGGTAGCTTGTTATTTTCAAATTAAAGATGAGGAAAATAAGTCTCAGGGACACGAAGACTCGCTTAAGAGCCCTCAAAGAGTACAGCAGAGTAGCTGTGGGGTTGAGAAGTAGAGGGGTAAAATGACCATTGTTTTATTACTGTAGGTCAAAAAGAAATCTTAATGTTTAAATATTTCCTACAGCTTTTTAGAAAACTTCTAATTACTATGCCACATTTCGCTGGTAAAACATATTGTCTCACAGTAAAATATTGTGTTTTTTTCTTTATTTTACATCTATCTGTCTACACAAACACCCACACATACATACATACACACACACACTTTCTCTCTTTCTCTCTCTCCCCTATCTTTGGAGTAAAACAGAAATAATCTATTGTTCCTGAGTTTGATTCTGGGAGAATCACTTAAGATAGGTCATGTTTATAACACCAGTTTCAGGGACAGGTAAATCCAGTAATTTAATTTTTGTATATCTTACATTAAAATGAATACACAAATATACTTCTCCCTCAATCTCCATATCAGACAAATGTAAGTGAAGTACTTGGCCTAGAAAAGAATAACCTGCAAGTGCCCTAATAATGTTGGTATTCCTAGTATTAGTAAGTTAAGATTCGTTTTTTGCTATTTATAGTGATATGTCTTTTTTTTTTTTTTTTTTTTTCTGAGACAGTGTCTGGCTCTGTCACTCAGGCTGGAGTGCAGTGGCACAATCTCAGCTCACTGCAACCTCTGCCTCCTGGGCTCAAGCCAACCTCCCACCTCAGCCTCCTGAGTAGCTGGGACTACAGGCACACACCACCACAAACAGGCAAATTTTTGTATTTTTTGGTACAGACATGGTTTCACCATATTGCCCAGGCTGGTCTCGTACTCCCAGGCTCAAGTGATGCTCCCACCTCGGCCTCCCAAAGTGCTTGGATTGCAGGTGTGAGCCACCATGCCTGGCCATGATGTACGCCTTTGAAATGTTTCTTCTAAACATTCGGTCTATCAAATATCAGTTGCTGTAGACATTTGTGTTCAAGGGAAAAATAATCCATGTCAAATCTTGGTGAGATGAAATATTCCATGGTATTGGTCCTATTAAAGCCAGGGCTGGTCAGGTAAACTCTTGACATTCTTCATACCACAATTTCTAAGCTCGATAGAAGAATCTGAAGAACACAAAACAAAAGCCAAGAGAACAAAAGAAGATTAACTGAGCAGTAAAGACTTATTTAAGAATATCAGTACTAAAATAAAACTATCCATTCCTGTCATGGAGTGCATGCTACTTACAGCAAAGTAAAATATTTCTTGAATTGGTGGCCCCCAACATTTTTGGCACCAGGGACAAGTTTCAGGGAAAACCATTTTCCTACAGACCAAATGGGAGATGGTTTCAGGATGAAACTGTTTCACCTCAGATCATCAGGCATTGGTTAGACTCTCATAAGGAGCGTGCAACCTAGATCCCTCGCATGCGCAGTTCACAACAGGGTTCACATTCCTATGAGGATCCAGTGCTGCAGCTGATCTGATAGGAGGCAGAGCTCAGGTGGTAATGCTCGCTTCCTCGCCCGCTCAGCTGCGTCTCACCTCCTGCTGTGAGGCCTGGTTCCAGTTCGTGGCCCGGGATTTGGGGATCCCTGTCCTAAATAACTTGGTAGGGGACTGATTGGAAAAATAAAAATTTAGTCAGGGTTTGCCCACTAAAGATGAAAGCAAATTTTACATTTGGTGGGATGAGTCTAAATGCAATGGAGACACTGATCTTTGTAACAGCAAAACATTAAATCCAGGCTTTTCTTTTACCTCGTTAATCGACATTTCATTCAGCCTGAGAGGTTGCTTTGGCATAACTCAGAGGTAGATTCAGTCCAACAACTGGCCCTACAATGCTCAGCCATGATGTGATGTAGTTGACATTCCTAGGAAACAAGTGAAAAACAGGCCATGCTAACGTTTCCATTGTAGTTTTGGATGAATGGTAGAATATCAGTTGGTCACCAACAATAACAGCAATGAGGTTTTCTTCAAAGATTTGTACCTACTACCTGGAATCTCAGCATTTCTGAATGCCAGCCCCATTGCTTGACAAGAATTTAAGGTCCAGAGAGCCTGTGAGGATCCCTTATTAGGGTAGTTGAAGAATGAGGTAAGATACTGGGGTCCCTGACTCCCCTTGATGATTCAAATTTTACCCTTGTGGTTTACAGCACTTACTAAGGTAGCAGAGTGCAGTGATTAAGAGCATGGTTCTGAGGCCAAAATGCTTAGATTCAAATCCTACCATGTAACTAGCTGTGTGACCTTGTTTGAGTGGCTTAATTCTTCTGTTCTTTAGCTTCCTCCTCTGTAAATTGGGTAAAATAATGGTACTTAGCACATAGGAATGTTGCAAAAATCCAATGTCTTACTGTATCTAAAACTCTTAGAACAGCATCTAGCATATAGTAAAAATCAATGTGTTAGCCATTATTATTATTATAAATAATATTTCTTTTTTAGCCTAGCTTTTAGAGTCACATAGAAAGATTTACACTTTTAAAATCAGAGTAGAAGCCAATGTATCTTGATGGTGTTTCTTACTTATTGATTTTCCGAGAATTCTTTAATACTGGAGCCATGAATTCATTCGTTTTGCAGGGATGAAGTACAAAAAAGGGTTGCCCAAGTATTGGATGTTCCTGTAAGAATCAGAATTGGTCCAGGATCAGTGTGAGTTACTTTGAAAAGGCTAAAATAATTTATCTGGTTTACTCCTTTAAAATAAAGATTTGTCTCAAATTCCAAGTCATTGAATTAATATACAGGTTTATTTTCTATTTTCAAATGTAATTTATAATCCAAACATCAGAAAAAGTTGGTGAGAAAGGGCTATTCATTGATAAAGCAGTATGGTCGAGTATAGCAGGGCGCCCATTTTTGTTTACACAATATAAACTGTAGTTGCATTTTATCAGTTCCCTCTCTGTTGGCCAGTGTTTCTTTTTGGCCTATCATTGTTCTTCAGTTTTTCTTCAAGGATGTTCACAAAGCTCAGTAGTTTGACAACCTAAACAATTCATTTTATTCACCTCTTTGTCAATGGTAAGAGAATCAAAATCATTTGCATATTTCTTTACACAAATTTTGTCAACATGTTGTTTCAAGCCTACATGTATCCAGTGCCAGTGGGCACATGTTCCATGAGTAGAACTAGGGATGGGAGGAGATGGCCTGCACTATTTAAATTGTTCTACTTCTGTCTGTCTCTCTGTCTGTCTTTCTGTCTCTGAGTTTTTGTTTTTCTTTTTCCTCATTTCTCTCCTTCTGTCTCTCCCAAGCCTACAGGGCTGTTTTTATAAGTTAAAAGCCTAAAATGTAACTCTGTTCCTTTTATAAGGTAATAACTGGATATAAGATATAGGTCAGACCGCACCCAAGTTAGGGATGTGGACATCATTTGGCAAGCAATGGGGAGCCCTAGGAAGTTTCTATGTAGTGCACAAGTTCTACCAACCCAAACACTATTATTGATGATACATTTATTGACTATTTATATTGTGGATTAACCATTATATCAATACTGCAAACTCAAATACCTATGAAGACGAAGCAGGTGACCTAAGGGGATAATGCCAGCTAAATACACCAGCAGATGACGGGCTCAGGAGGAACTGCAGAGTGCACCCATCCAAGGCCATGCTGGCTACTCTGCTCCGGCCAACTGTCCCATGTGGGAATGCAGGTTCAGCATGCCAGAGCTTCCTATTTGTGAAACGAACCTAGAAAACCTGAAGTTTATGTTAAACCTCCTACATCAAAGTGTTGGCACAAGATATTTTTAAACATGAGTGGGACCAGTAAAACAGGCTTGTAGGCTGGATTTAGACTAGGGGACGCCTAGCTTCTTCTCTTGGTTTCTTCTCTTAGCCAACCCAAGGGCAAGCTGAACTCAGAGCTGTTGATGGGATGAATTATGTGGCTGTCCCTGCTGCCTCTACCCTCAGCTCCAAACATTCATGTCTGCATGCTTATGCATACATCCACTCACAAGAACTGGGAGGGACAATTCCACTTGTATTGGTGACACTGGGTATGGAGATGTGGGGTGGCAGTGGTGAGGGATGAGTTATCCACTAGTTGTAGGTTATTGCATGTATCTCGCATTTTTAGCATCTCCTGGCATTTTTTTCTCCCTGAGTGCCACCTCCAGGTGACTCTGACCAGTAGCCTGATTCTTCCAGCAAGGCATCAGTTTCCTCTCTACAGCTCTCTTCCCAACCTTCATTCCCATCCCTAACTGGGCCCTGGGCTCAAAGCCCTGATGGGTTGTGCCTATATCAAGTCCTCCTGTCCAACTTGAGTCTCGTTTTGCTTACCTGCCTTAAACTAATATTAAGTAATTCAACATATATTAATCAATCATCTTTTTTATGTGTCTGCCAGAATATTTCTAGGTATAGTTAGAGAGACCACTGTATCTCTTAGATAAACAATGTTCCTGATCCCATGGAACTTAGATTCCAGTGCAGAAGACAGCCAGTAAACATGCAGAATGAATAAATAAGATAATCCAGAAAATTATAAGCCCTATGAAGGAAACACAACAGGGTAACATGATTCTGGAGGGATTTTGGTGACATTAGACTTGGAAAGGGAAGGCCTCATGGAAGAGGTAATACAATGGACTGAATGTGTGTGTCCCTCTAAAATTCATATGTTGAAATCCTAACCACCAAGGTGATGGTATGTATTAGGAGGTGGAGCCCTTTGCAGGTGATCAGGTCATGAGGGTGAACCCCTCATGAATGGGATTAGTGCCCTTATAAAAAAGACCCAGAGAGCTCTCTCTCTCTTTTCCTATCATGTGGGGATACAGTGAGAAGATGGCATCTATGAAATAGAAAATGGGTCCTCACCAGACACTGGATCTTCCAGTGCCCTCATCCTGGATCTTGTAGCCTTCAGAACTGGGAGAAATAAGTGTTGGTTGTTGAGTCACCCAGTCTATGGTATTTTTGTTATGACAGTCTAAATGGACTAAAACAAGGTGATACTTAATCAGAGATCAGAATGACAAGGAAAAAACAACCACGCAGAGATTTAGGAACAGAATGTGGGGGCAGATGACCCTATGGGGAAATGAGCATAGGAAATATGCAGGAAAAATGCAAAAAAATTTAAAATTGTCCTGGACTAAAATAATGACTGTTTAGAAAGCTGGAATTTAAAAAGATAAATGTAGTCTAAATTCTTTTGGGATGACTTACACAGTTGCCAATGGAAGGAATAAAGAGGTATAATCCAATCTTATTGATGTAAAGACATGTTAACTTTAATGAAATGAAACCTAGGCTTCCAAATTTCCACTGGACAGAAACACTCATAATAGGGAGAATCAGTTCAATCATGCAGCCTCCACTCTCTCCAAGACTCACTCTCCCTTTGGCATCTCTTATCTAAGAGGTGGATAGGCACTTACAGTTCAGGGGACATTTTCTTTTTCTTTTTCTTTTTTTTTTTTTTTGAGACGGAGTCTCGCTCTGTCGCCCAGGCTGGAGTGCAGTGGCCAGATCTCAGCTCACTGCAAGCTCCACCTCCCGCGTTTACGCCATTCTCCTGCCTCAGCCTCCCGAGTAGCTGGGACTACAGGCACCAGTCACCTCGCCCGGCTAGCTTTTTTTTTGTATTTTTTAGTAGAGACGGGGTTTCACCATGTTAGCCAGGATGGTCTCGAACTCCTGACCTTGTGATCCGCCCGTCTTGGCCTCCCAAAGTGCTGGGATTACAGGCTTGAGCCACCGCGCCCGGCCTCAGGGGACATTTTCTTAGAGGAGTCTTAGGACCATGGCACACTGCAGCTCTGCTCATTTGATGCTTCTTTGTAAAGACTTGGACTTTACTTCTATAAGTCATCTTTTCCTCATTCCACATAGCAAGTGGGTAAGCACATGCATGAGCTCTGTGGTTACGACTGTTTGAGGTCAAGTCCTGCTCTACCACTTGGTAGCTGTGAGCTATCGGGAAAGTCACTTAACCATTTTATGTCTCTGTTTCTTCATCTGGTAACTGGCTAATGATAGTATCTGTCTCTGAGATTGACTGTGACCCTTCAATGAGATAATACCACAGAAGTACATAGAACAGTACCTGAAACATAGCAGACACTTGGTTGGCTATTAGTATTTAACCCATTAATATCTAAACAGAAAAGGATAACAGCCAGACATTCAGAAAGTAGTCTTATGGTACCCTGTGATAAAGCCCAATTTCAATCTAAAAATAGGATATTCCTGTAAATTAAGTAGCATATTAAAAGCATCACTGACCAGTATCTAAGTGTTTAGGAATATTTAACAACTGTTTATAAGTGAAAGGAAGAAAGGTCTGAATTAGTGAAAGGTCTAGGTCTATATGGCAACTAGAACTATCACTATATTTGTATTCAGGTTTAAAACGAAATTAATGAAAAATAATTTAAATGAATTTAAATTAAAATAAAAAGCTTAGGTACTTCAAAAACACTTCAGTAATCTACAACATTTTAATATTCATTTTTCCTCAAAGAACATAAAATAGTCATATTAGCATTTAAGGTTATATTCTAATAGAATAAAATGCATGGCAATGCTCATTTAAAACACTTTTTAAAATAATTGAGACTTTTATGCCTTTGAAGAGCTTTTAGAATAGCTTGAGCATTTCTTTAATGTAGGTTTGGCCATCTTTAAAAAATTCTTTATCCTTTACTATACTGAGACCTTATATTTATATAATTAAATAGAATATATTAAAATGAATGATGGTCTTTAAAAATCACAAGTTTAAATTTATTAATAAATTGGATTTTAAAATAAAAATTACATTGTTTTGGCAAAATGCTTTGGTTTAAAAGAATCAAGCCTATACTATGCTGATCACCTTAATACAGGAGTTATGAGATATATTTATGTAATCTTTTAGAATAATTTTATAAATTAATAACAATAGAAGTGGACTGCTAGCTGTGATAGAATAAAGAGGTCAGCAAATCCTCTTCCCAGAAAATAAGTATAAAAATGAACAAAATTGTCAAAAACAAACCATTTTTGGGTCCTGGAAATCAACCAAGGGCAAATACAAAATCTGAGAAGTGTTTAGTTCATGATAATCTGCTAAATTTCAAGTTAGAAACAGAGGGAATCTGAAGCATTCTTGCCTGGAAGTACTTCCATACCCCCTCCTCCTTTCCCCAATGTCCCCAGCCACTCCATCAACAGAAGTTTTACCAGAGCAGTCTGGCCATAAGAGCCAATAACTGTGTAGCCAGAGGGGCTGGCCTGATTTCCAAAAGACAGCTAAAACTATTGCTCAGCGGCACTGTCAATAAAAAATAGCAAAATAGGTACTAAAAGAAAAGAAAAGGTTGCAGTCCCAGTTGAGGCAAGCAGCAAACTACCAGTATTTTAATGGGGACATTCTGGAAGTAAGACAGCCACGGAAGGGGTAGATAAATTCTCCAGGCATCACTGGCTGATGGGAAGAGAATGTTCAGTGGAGACACGAGAAGGCCTGATGGGATGTAAGAGCTAAGGCCAACATGAATACTACTTGAATTTTCAGTGTGTTCTCAATCCATGTACACATTCATTGGCAAAAGAAAAAGGCATTATAGGCTTGAGGTATTTGAGCACAATTTCTGTCCAATCATTGGCCAACTTGT